GTTCCGAATGCAAAGTGAAAAAAATGATTGATGAATTAATGTCATTGAATGCTCACTGGGAAAGTGGTTGAAGGTGTCCAAATGTCTTTGTGTACTTGCAGAAACTTGTACAAATGATAAGTGATGGAATTACATTCTCCTGCCAGGCATCAACAGGAAAAAAAGTTTATTGTTTTTGAGAAATAGTCATTTTGAAAAAGTTTCTTGCGAAGCCTTTGCTCTTTGTCGGAGATAATGAGTCATTTACATACCTTCCAATCATCCCTTGATGGAAAACATAGACAGCAGGTGGTTGGGGTCATGAATAAAAGCTCTTCCTTGAGCATAAATGACTTATTTACATCTGTTTAAATGCAACTGCATTCTCTGTCTTTGTTCTGTAGGAATACGCACTTCAATCCATTAGAACAATTAAATGAGCACAGATAAGCATGTTTGAAAATGCAATATGGATTTAATTGCCATATTTTTAAGAGTCATGCCAACATAAGTTTATTATCACGACTGCAAAACTAATTTAACTCCCATCTTTGACCTTTTTTTGCAACATTAGTTCTCATTAAAGGTGCAGTGTCTAAGAATAATGCAAGAAGACATCCCGTGGTCAAATTTGGTTACTGCAACCACTCTTTCTCCCATCCGTGAGTTTCCTATTGACTATTAAGGATCAGCACCAGAAGATTCTAGACAGCAAGTAAAGATGAGCCGTACGCAGTAAGCTGATAGGTAGATAAATACATTGTCATCGCTGGTGTTAGCACTCTTTGGTGTTTTACGATAGGAAGCACTTACTACACTTATTACGGTAATATGTCTCTGGCATAGAGGATGTGTGGGTTTTACCATCTGGCTGGCTAGCCTGGCCTGTCAGACTCCTCCTCAGTTTAATTCTGCACAGAGAGTGTCTGGGAACTCTTCTGTTCAAATAACCCCACCCCATGAGAATTCTAACCGAGCCAATCAGCGCTGACAATCGTGCATCACACACCATGACGCCGAGTTTGTCATAAACATGGTGACTGAAGTGGAGTTCGCTGTGGCTCTTTCCTTTGTTCTAAATGACTCAGATGTCTTTAAAACCACAAGTAGAAGCACTAAAAACATTTCTTCTAAGAAAAATAAGATGTTTGCGCCGTTGCCAGATGCTACTTTTATTCTTTTACTACAACTAGAAAACTACAGCGTCTTGCGGCACAGTCGAGATTTTCGTCTTTTTTCTGATTGGTCATTTTTGAGCTGTCTAGTCCCGCCCCTCAAGTGCCTCTCTGCCTGTGAGTTACCAGACTCTTTCTCTGTGCAGAATTAAACAGAGGACGAGTCTGACAGGCCAGGCTACTGGCTGGTAGCTTGCTGTAGTAAAACGCTACCTTAGACTCGTTATTCACTTCACACATACGTACATTTCACTGTAATTTAAAGTTGTTGGTAATTGAAAAAGTAGCTTGAGATAATTTTATAGCTGACTATCTGCTTCCACTGTTAGCACTGTTAGCTCAACGCTAGCCTCTAGCCTTCTTTAACCAATAGTAGAGTAAAACATAAAACAGCTGTGGCTTCTTAGGGGTACAAGCAATAACGTATGGGTCACTCTTGTCACTGGCTTTAGTTCTTTAAACAACTCTGGAGCTTTTTGCCAAACATAGTTAGATGATAAATGCCGGCACTGCAGTGTTAGCTTGCGGCAGACATGGCAACCTCACACTTACTGATGGTAAACAGTAGTAATGACCCTCCTTCCTTTATTTTGAAAGGAGATAAACTGAGAACCCAGCAGCCGGCTGAGAATTAATTCTGTTTCAGTGTAACCTTCCTTCCAACATAATTGAGAAATTAGGCTGTTTTGGGATTATTTAACTGTAAAAATCTTACTTTATTCGTACACATTGTACCTTTAACCAACGCACTGTTTGCGGGTATTTTTCTTGTTAATTAAAAAGCCAGCTTGAGTTGACCTAATTCCCATCTCCGGTAGCCATAATAAGTATGGACCACTTTAGTAACACTCTCATCTGAAGTTTGAAAGTAATTAAATTACATATTGCAATCACACGTCTCTGAATAAGTTATGCTCAAAAAGACCAGTTCTGAGAATGGATCCAGCTGACTTAAGCCAGGCGTACAATGAGCAAGTATTTCACTTTTTTAGCCGATTTTCCACTCGTGCGAGAATCCACAAGATCAGGGCGAGTTTAGCGCTGAGCGTCGTGTAGTGTACGGGGGTTACAAGAGGCGATTAACACCACGTGACCAGCTACCGATCAGCAATCGTGAGCTTGCATGGACTTCTGGAGTGGTTGGTATTTTGCTTGTTCCTCGTGAGGGTTGAAGCGGCGCAGCGAGCAACTGCGACCCAAAAAGTACCAGAACCGCTCATGGTGCATGCGCAGTCATGCATCAACACCGCTCGCCCGCTATTTCCCCAATAACACACGTTGTTTGTTTTTATTTATACACATTTTTTTACTCACAATGACAAGGATTGTCAAGAAAGCGTGTTTGTCGTGTTCATGTCAAATTAAACTTATCACAATACACAGATTTACTTTCTTTATTTTGTTTTCCTCATCCAACCCCCATAAATCCCTGCGTGTCCTCCTGCAGCACTCCCGAAGGACAACAGGCAAAACAAGACAAAAAAGTCTGGCGTGTTGTGTAAAAACTGCTATTTTTAGCATATTTCTTATGTCCGAAGTGTTGCTACCAGACGTACAGTGTGAGCAGTCAGGTCGCGTCCGAGAACTGGGTCGTACAGTGTGAACACATGACTCGTGAAATCTGCCCTGCGAGGAAGTCGTACAGTTTGAGCTGAAGCTGGGTGCTACGAGTGAAAAAGTCGCAGTGTCCGCCCAGCTTAAAAGGGAACAAATGTAAAAGTGTTGCCTGTCTCTTTGGTGAAGGCTTAATATAGTTTTCAACAAGGTGGAGGAGGAAAACATCAGCTGATTCTTTGAAGTTCCCCTCTGTGTGTGCACAACAACAGCCCTGAACAGAAAGGGGCTTTAAAAAATAGGCTTTCTGTTTAATTTGAAAAGGAACTGAAGCCATGGAAGTGCATGCATTTGCAAATATTTTGCATCTAAATTAGTGCATCATGAATACCATTTTAGGAATTGTAAATAACAGCCTCTTTAGACTGTTTTAATCATTTTGCTATATTTGCACTTCAACTAATTTAGACCTTCTTCAAACTTTATATATTTCTGAAAAAGAATTGAGAAAAAGTTGCTTCTAATGAACAGACATTTTTAGATTGCTTTTGGTGGTTTGAATGAGTGCTGTTTAAATTGCATTTTACTTTATTTATTTATTTATTTTATAATTCCATTCAAAAACCCTTAGCGTATTTTTAAAGCAACTTTCCTCCAATCAGGAGGAAGAGCCTAAAGCTTAAATTGGAGTAATGCAGAAAACTTATGTTGCGGTCTTAGTACACTTGTAATGTGTGGACACTGGGCACTCAACATGCTGGAAAAGACAGAACTGCGTGATACACAGCCTTCAAAACAAACTTCTGTCTCTTTTGGCTTCTCCCTTCAGGCATCACCAAAGTGAATCACCTGTCTCCAATTATTTCCAGTTTGCCACTGACAAGTCCCAGTTCATTGCGGCAACTCAGACAAAAACACGGTGAGCCAGCTGACAATGAATGATACATCAATAAACAAAGAAAAATCACAAACAACTAAAAAGCATCTTTGTTTCACAGTTGCCTGCAGCCCCTGAGCTGACCATGGTAGCTGCAGGTGTTGTGCAGGGAAAAGTGAGTCTGCTGGCCGTGGCGGAAACGCGCATCACTGCACACAGCCACAAATTGATGACATAAACAATCTGAAATATGAGCAACGATGCTCCTTTTACATATATTTATAATATTAACATTGTTTTTTTTTCAGTGTACTTCCTAAACATGTGAAAGTGAAACTTAAAGTTGTTTGTTTTGTGTGGGAGCCTTGTTTTCCCCCCTTTTTATGGCTAAGTAGCCCTGTTTGCTCAGCAATTTGGTCAGCTGTAATGCTGTGTTTTAAATGAGCTTTATAAAAAAAGAACAGATGGGTGGATCAAAAGACAACTTGGATGTGTTTTTTCTTATTTCATCACGTTGCTGAAGTATCGGATTGGGTCTTGGTATTGGCATATACTCAAAACCAAATGACTCAGACTTGGCTCAGGAGCAAAAAAAAAAATCTTTTGAACATACGTAGCTGTTCTTTTATTAACTCATTCACTGTCAGCCGTTTCCTGATCAGAAAAGCCCTTCGCTGCCAGTGTTTTTCAGCGTTTTTTACTGTTTCTTTAAGAGTGACAGAACGTTGCGCACTAGGATGATGTCGACACCAAAACAACCAAAACAAAGAGTAGACTCACCTCTTACGTAAGGAAGAATCCGTGCATTTCGAGCGTTTTCGGTTCTTTCTTAATCCGTTGTCGAATTGTGATCGGCAGAAACTTTTCCTGTTCGCGCCTCACTTTATTTTACAGCAGCGGCCCAAAACGATCTCCTAACACATGGATTTTCTGCCTCCTGGTCATGTTACGTGTGACGTACGCAGATGAAGATCTGCTATAGAGCTGGGATGTTTGTTCTCACGGTGCGGGGGCTCGTTCCGACGCCCACATAGTAAAAAATTTGGCAGTGAACGGTTGGATTTAAAATGACGACTTGTGTCATCAATGGCAGTGAATAAGTTAAAGGATTCAAACTTTGACATGCTTGAATAGATTGCTGAACAAATGCATCCTTGTCCACACATTTAGGATAAAGCTGATGTTTTATTTAAAACTGAAACTAACCAACCCACGTATTCACACTACCACCTTATACTAACCTTCGTATGACATGAGACAGGTTTCTCGGAGCACCACACGGTAATACTACCAGCTCATATTTTATCCCATGTAGCAAAAGAGGGTTTTCTTTTTATGTTTTTAAGAAAACTAATTAAAAGTAGAGTGTGCAGGCCATTCAAGCTAAAGAGCTGTGTGTGTCTGTCATTTTTCAGCTCTCCTGAGGGCATGTGCTGATGGAGCTGCCAATCACCTTTACAACATCACAGCTGGAGACCGTGACAAGTGAGTTGGCCTTGGGTTAATGTTTGAATTAGTTAACTTGTGTTTTGACTTCAGTACTTAATTATGTGCAGTTGTGTGGTGGTTAGTGATTAAACAGAGGTGCTGCAGATTGTACCTGAGTAAAACCCTGAACTGCACTATGGATCCAGAATATTTCTCAGGCTCTTTGTGTGTATATGTGTGTGTGTGTGTGTTCTCCAGGTGAAAAAAACGGTACCCTGTTCATGTGTGAGTGCTGTGTGTGTTTCTGATAAAGTAACGCAGGGGTTTGCAATCTGCGGCAACCTTTCTTGTGGCTAATGGAGGCTGCTGTCAGGACAGAGATGGATCTGGGGATCACTGGGTCCCTGAAGTGTCAAGACTTTCACATTAACGCGCAGCGTGTGAGCATGAGTGTGCCTTTTATTACCAGGGTGTGAATGGGATGTTATGTGTGTCGCTCTCTCTCTCTCTCTCTCTCTCTCTCTCTCTCTCTCTCTCTCTCTCTCTCTCTCTCTCTCTCCCTCTCTCTCTCTCTCTCTCCCTCTCTCCCTCTCTCCCTCTCCCTCTCTCCCTCCTTGTAATTCAGACTGTGTATTAACCATTTAAAGTTGCAGACACCAGAGGTAAGGATGTTTAACCAAAGTGACGTCATTCAGGTCTGGTGATGTTGACACTGCTCAGCATACTTTTTAAATTGGACATTTTTTAACGTTTTTTTTTTCCTGATCATGAAAATTTCACTGTCCACCTTATTCTGAAAAAATAAAATAACTGAATTACCCATACCACACCACTAGGTGGCAACATCATTCACATCAATTACAACAAAATACAGAGAGAGCCCGTCTTTGGATTGGCTACTCTATTGGACACTCAGTTCCTAGCAATCTCAAAACATAGTCAAAATTGAATGGATGCATGATGATTTATTACACTAAGATCACAAGATTGCGGAAACAAGCAGTGGAAATGAGTTTTCTCTGCAGGGTGGCTGGGCTCTCCCTTAGAGATAGGGTGAGAAGCTCGGCCATCCGGGAGGGGCTTGGAGTAGATCCGCTGCTCCTCCACATTTACAGGAGCCAGTTGAGGATGCCTCCTGGATGCCTCCCTGGTAAAGTTTTTCATGCGCGTCCAACCGGGAGAAGAGCTAAAGGAAGACCCAGGAAATGCTGGAGGGACTATGTCTCTCAGCTGGCCAGGGAATGCTTTGGGATTCCACTGGAGGAGTTGGCCCAAGTGGCTGGGGAGAGGGATGTCTGGGCCTCTCTGCTTAGGCTGCTGCCTCTGCGACCCGACCCTGAATAAGCGGATGAAAATGGATGCATGGATGGATTATACCACTTTAACAAAGGTTTGTTTAGCTTTTTCCTGTAGGTAGCATGAATAACATGCATTGCCTTTTAGCTCACCTTACTTGTGTTTATCTCCAGTCCTGGAGGACTACTATCCTGCATGTTTTAGATATTTCTCTGCTTTGAGTCAATTGGGAGTCTATAGAACTTGAAGATTCTGAAGAGCTCCTTAACTATTGATTCAGATGTGTTGGAATATGTGGATTTGAACAACCTTGAATGAGACGGATCCAGTGTTAAGTGGTTGAAATTTTATCAAGAACGTAATTAATCGAACCCTGTGAACAGGAGCGCAGGTAGGATTTTCAAACTGGGGGGGACAAAGTTCCAATGTACCCTCCCCCAACACATATACACACACACACATACACAAACTATTGCAAGAGCCTTAACTAGAGCTCAGTCAGTTTGTGCAATTTCATCCAATGGTTTACAAAAAAAACTAACACTTTTATATACGTGTTTGAAGCTATTGTGCAATGGAACGCTGGCAACAAAGCTCTGCCTGATCAACACTTCCCAAGTTAGTCATTTGTTATTCTCCCAATCAATTACTAACCAAAACCTCATGCTTTATGCAAAACATTAAATGATTTTCAGCATACCCATCTTTACAGAAAACATAAAAGCCCTAAAAAACGGCACATAAAATATATTTTAAAAACAATATTCACTTATAGGGTTGGCCATCGTTTGATTTTGAACAATTCCGATTTCCTGTTGCTATCGATTCCCGATTCTGATTCTTTCAAGTCATGACATGTTTTACTCGAGTCAGCTAACCACAGGTCCTACTTGATGAAATAATCTTAACTTCAACATGAATTTTAATTCTATGAACAACAACATCACCTTCATTTAGACAAAAACATGTTTTGGAGAAAAAAAGAAAAAGACTTGCAGCACAACCAGTGTGTTTGTTTCTGACCACAACCAAAGTCGGGAAGAAGCCTCTGGGATGAGAAGCTAAATGTCTCCAACATATCCAGAAACGTCCAGCTGTTTTCAGCTAAAACTCTCAGGATGATCATGTCCAGGATGACTGAGAACTACACCTCCATCCATCACGTCCCAGAGAAGGTTAAACCAACATCAAACCCAACTTTTGGAGCTTGTAAACTCCACACACACTCGTGCAGCACCAGCTGTCTGATGCTGCAGCAGCGTCAATCGTCCCGGATGGATGAGTGAATTTCTTCATCAGAGTCAATATTCTGCTTCATAATCAGAGTCAGTCATTACCAGACAAAGTGATCAGTCAACAAAGACCAGACGTGCCGGCAATTATACGTTTTATCTAATATTTACGCTCTTCATGTTGCGCACATCTCCTCCTCTCCCCGACCGGGAGCCTCTCGGCAGGAGCCATTTTTCAAACTCTTAAAACTCCCAAACTTTGCTCATCCTGAAGGTTCCACGTCTCCACTATCTTCTGGTGTAAAGTAGTAACTTCATGAGGGATCATATTTGTAGATGAGACTTGTTAAAGTCAGCAATGAGGCTTTGGCACTTATAACGAGTAAGTCCCAACACTGACAACAACGTACTGAAACTAGAACCAACATGCATAAACAGACAGATCGGTCCCGCCTACTTACACTGTTGGTCTTTTTTAAATACGCAGTAATCGTTGCTTGCCTTTCTCGCTTCATCCTGCATCCTAGCAGCAACCACTTTGGCGCCTCTGGAGTTGGTGTTTGTTTATGTCATGCTGCATTCATTGCAATTGGAAAAAGGAGCTTCAAGCGCTTAACCTCAGATTTTTTTTTTTTCGGCTTTAGTGCGGAGGACGGATCAGGGTGGATCTGAATCTGGGGGGGGACAGATCCCCCCGTCCCCCACCCTAACTGCGCGCCTGCCTGTGAAACAGCTGAAAGTTCAAGATGACATGAAGAGACAAAGTTAGAACTTAACTGTATGATTAGAACAACACAATGAAAATTACATGTTGCTGCATGCTGAAATATGAAGGCTATTTTAGTTAGGTGTCATCGCAATTTGTTATAATTGTAGACAATTTCAGCTGATCAATTACATAAACAGTTGGAGGTAGAAAATTATACCTTTTCAAATGATAGCATTTGGTTTTATTTTTAATCACAATAAGAATTGCTTTTTTTAGAAGTTAAAGATAACTGCACATTGTTTCTATGGGAATTATGAGACTTAATTCTTTCGAAAGTTGCGTTTTAAATAGTAGGATTTTTGTTTTTCTGTCTATCAAATACGCAGTGCAGGTATGAGTTGTGGCCCAGATTGCAGAGGCATTGCTCACAGATCCATGGGTTTCTGTGACGCAGCAGATTCATTCTCTGACTCTCCACGTTGAGCTCTGTCAGCAGCCCGCGTGGTTGAGCTGACAGCCAGGCTTTCCTTTTAGATGGACTAATTCGAACACTAACGGCATCTGTCCAGAAAAGTTAGACATTACACGCTGAGGGCTGGAGGAGACAGGGATAACGGTGAAATGGGAGGACATGTTTGAAGGTAGGGGTCTGTGAATGAATCACCACGTTAAGATGTGTTTAACCCAACAGTTTCATACTAATAGCCTTCAGAGAAGGTAAGTAAAGGAAGTTAAAGTAGGACACAAGTAAACAATCTAAGCTCTCAAAGGCATTAAAACAATACAAAAAAAGCTACTTTTCATGTTTTATATAGTGCCATCAATGCAAAATAGAAGCTAAGAAATCAATGTCCAGGAATGACACTTTAGTTGTTCTCCAGGACACGGTAGCTGCTTGTTGACTGCAGCTTCGTAAAAGAGCATAATCCCTCAATAAGCTTGTATCTCATTAGGCTGCAAATGTTGGCATCAGACTGCTAATTGCATTTGTGATGGAGTTTGTGATAAAGTGTCTCGAAACACTCACTGGTGTTTTTTGAGTTTTGTTCCCAAAAAATTGTAAAACCAATTTTCTCTGCAGATTCATGGAGGTACTGTGGGCATCTAGAAGTCATCTGACCCTTATTAACATCTACTCTGTTTACTTTCTATGAATCAGAACTTACAGAAACAAGAAAATATAATTCAGACATAATTAGTAACATTGTCTCAACTGTTTCAAATATCATATACCCCATGTGACCTGGTCAGTCATAAAAGTTGCCACAAGGCTTACAGTCTTCAATGTGATTCCACCTCAAAAGGCTCATATTTTGTCCCAGTTGTATGTCTCCACCCAGTTGCCAATAGTTCTCACCCAGTGTGATACTTCAATGATAAAAGTCATTCAGATTTGTATACATGTGTTTCTACTAGAGACAATCAAGCATACATAAATGCAATGTCACCAGCAGTTCTAACATGTAGGCTTTTAGAATGTGGGGAGAAGCAGAATTTCCTGAGGAAAGCCAACACAGACACTGTAGGAACTTGCAAATTTCACTCAAAAATGCCCCAGCCAATATTCAAATCAGAATCCTTCTTGCTGTGAAGTGACATTGCAAACCAACCTACCACTGTGCAGTCTGCAGCTCTCAATCAAGGCTTTAGCCTATACACTTCAAAGTTATTAGAGGTACAATATGTGCCCTTGGTTGTCAGGACTAATTCTGTGCTTTTAAAGTGAAACAAAGAACGAAGGAAATTACCCTGAGGACAGATTTTGAGTCTTTCTCTGTGCCTTTATAAAAATTGTATCTTTGGGTATGAAATCATTCATT